GCAGTTGAATTTTCCTATTGGATGTTTGCGGTGGTACGTGACGTAAGTGGTGGCAGGTGACGTAAGCAGGTTCCAGCTCACCACGCCCTTGGTATGAGCTAGCGTAGATTTATCAGGGGGTCAATCCAGCGCTCGAAAACCGTACCACACCCAGGGGCTGCCATTGGCTAACAAGCCATAACCTGCTGTTAGCATTCCATTGACTCCCATTCATTTTGGCGTCACTTTAACAGCGAATAACTTTACATCTGAGGCGTTTAAAGACTCTATTTGTCCATTTGTTTATTTCTAAATAAACACGACAATGTATAAAAGGCTCCATTACCTTGTATCTTACATTATGGCCCAGTAGAAACAGTTTTTGTAAAAGTAGGCTAACGCTTGCGTCATAACACGCGACTCTCTGGAAATTACCGTATAGGCAGGAGGAGAAGCTCACAGTAAATCGGGGGGACGTGGAGGCATAAAGTCCGATAAAGTGTAGGGAGAAGCCCATAGAGAATCATAAAGTTGCTCCTGCTCCCAGCTCATTGACAGCTCCTACTCACGCTCTCCGTTTCTGCAAGATTCGGAAGGGAATGATTCAGATTGCTCTTGGCACAGCTACAGTACTAGAAGACTTAAAATTGTCAGACAGGCTGCTCACGTCACATCCACGTCATCAAGCTCAGTTTGAGTCTGTGCAGTACGCCTCAGCCATTAGGAAGTGAGTGCTTCTAATTTGCTTCACTTTTCTCCGTTGAAACCTATGGGGTCGCTGTGTCCAGTTTATATACGGTCTATGAGATTTATCTGTAGTGGTCAGGAGTGTATTTAGGTGTAGTGTTGCTGGTTGCAACAGCACTGCTGGACTGCATAGCTTTCCAGCAGACTTGGAAATTAGGCGCCAGTGGTTGCATGCACTTGGCCTGGAAGACCGTGAGTGTGAAACACTTCTGAGTTGCTTTTCTAACGCAATAGAGGTGGAAATGGGCTTCTCCACACAGCTCTCACTGAAAAGCGACACAGTGCCAAACGCTGCTACTCCTGCATGGACTCCACCACCGCAGCAGCATCTTGATGTGAGTGATCATATATATTTTAATCACAATTTATGGTTAGGCTAAAGCAGTGGTTCTCAACCTCTCCTGCAGGGACCCCCTGACACACCATGTTTCTGTTTTAACCCTGAAATGGCACACCTGATTCAATTAATTAAAGGCTTAATGAGTCATTATTAGAGTAGGAAGTAGGAATTAGTTAATTGATCAATTAGTCAACTACTCATTAAGCCTTCAATTAATTGAATCAGGTGTGCCATTTCAGGGTTAAAACAGAAACATGGTGTGTCAGGGGGTCCCTGCAGGAGAGGTTGAGAACCACTGGGCTAAAGTTAATCCAGTGGGGTCGACAAACGCACCGGTGCATTTTGCTGGATTTTTTCACATAGCGGCAAAATATGAATATGCCTACAGATAGCGCGCGCTATTGACATCAACTCGATAAAACCATTATTTTACTGTCTATATATAAAACTCATATGCATGTACTTTACGTCGTCTTGCGACCCTGTGAGTCACTTCACATTTTAGAGCATAGTTTTAGAGAGTCTGACAGCAGGTCAGCAGGTGCACACATTTGAATTGCGTGGTAACAACAGATTCAATAGAGCGCAAAGGGGGCGGAAGATCATTCCAAAGCCTAGAAGCAACAGCCTGAAAGGATCGGTCACCTCCAGTACGAAAACGAGTGCGTGGAACCTTCAGCAGATTCTGATCCACAGACCTCAGAGCCCGCACAGGGGTGTTGGGCTGGATCAGATCACTGATGTAAGAAGGAACCTGACCATGCAAGGCTCTGAAAACTAGAACCAGAATTTTAAACTTGATCCTATTCATACTTTGCAGTCACATGACTACCATGGATACCTGGCGGGCAACAAACGGGTATTTTCAACGTAGAGTCCTGTAGTTCCAGGTCTTTTCTAGTAGCTATCAAGTCTGTTAGCGAGCTAGCTTCATAACTATGGACTTGGATTAACTCCAAGGTAGCTAAATTGTGTAAAGCAGACAAGGTTTTTTTAAGATAATTGAGCAGTAATAATTCCTCCGTAAATAATCTAGCTCTACTGTTGGGTCATATCTGGTTCTCATTGAAAACCAGAGATATCACAAACCTCAAAACAACCTATCACACACTTTTGTTGTTGTTAGCAAAAGACGACAGCTGTTACTGTGCGCTCACACCGCCACCGGCGAGAGCGTCAAAGTGCCCGGAAGTCATAGCCTCGTGAGACCATCCTGATCTCGCGAGCTTTCAAGGTTTCACTCGCAGATCAGTCTGGATACTTTCCGTTAAAGAAAATTTGGGAGCAGTTCACCAAACGAACGTCCAATCAGCGTTGGCTTTGAGGCGGGTTGAGGTGTGACGCAACGAGAAGCGCGTCAGTTCAGTCTAAAGAACATGTCGGCTTCAGCGGATGAAACTAGCATCAGCGTGGCTATCGAGCAAGTTTTATCGGAATTACAGAGTATTTCTTCACTGAAAGAAGAGCAAAACACTGCTCTGGAGGCTTTTCTCAGAGGAAAAGATACGTTCTGTTAGTACGTCATATGCTTCGTTGATCTGATTGGTTGATTTGGCCCGTCTATCACCAACATAGGCCAATCAGCTAACCAGTATTTTCGCCCCTTACCAAAACTACTTCAACGGAAGGTTTCCAGATGGATATGCGGAGCAAATCCATCTGGCGGAGTCAGGTTACGGAAGTCATTCATTTTCAATGAATTTTGCCGCTCTCACTGGCGGCGGTGAGAACATACAGTTAAGCCTAGCTTAGACTCATAACACAAACAGCTGACTCGCCGAACCAGCTGCTGGTGTTGATTGAAGAAACTACAGGGTAACTTAAAGACACGATTAATTACATGATCATACACCCATTGTATTCAAACAAATGTTGAAATTACCTTTGATGTAGTGATGGAATGATCACTGCACAGACGTGAATACTGTGAAGGTTGCTTATCTCATCTGCGGTTAGTGCATCCAATCGCACAACAACTATCTGGCATGTCGTTTACACCTCAAAACACCAACTTTTGTATAGTAAAACTGGCGACGTCCTGGCAAGATCCTTGATTAGTTTACTGGGTTTCGTTGCTGGAGAACGACGTTCTTGCCCACCAGCCAGTACTTGTGACGATCCGTGCAAAGTATGAATAGGACACTGGCAGCCAATGCAGTTCTTTTAGAATAGGGTGAGTCCTCCTATTAGTATGGGTCAGAATTCTGGCTGCAGAGTTTTGCACTAATTGCAGTCGAGAGATAGCCTGGCTCCGCCCTCCTGCGTACTTCTGATTTTATTTCCCTTCAGTACAACGTCTGGGATTGTGGTGTATTTTTGGTTTTCTCCGATCATTTTTTGGAGGTCCAATCAGCGAACAGAGGGAGTGGCTGCGAACGATGACGTTGAGGTTGTGCGCTAGTTTGAGTTGTAGGCTTACGTCACGACCAAAGGTTAACGATTGGTTATGGCAGATCCAGAGTGACTCTGGGCAGATCCAATAGTTTGATGAACTAAAAATTAACATAATGCGAGTTCTTCACTCTCTCTGTCAGCGAACTCCAATTTGAAACGCGTTCGGAAATGATCTGTAACTCCACGAAAATTCAGTCAAACAGGCAAACATACCCACGGGCATAAAGCTAGAGATCGCATCTTTTAAATGAAGTCATTTATATTAAAAACAAATATTCTCAGCTTCTGTAATCTGTATGAAAATAGAGCGATTCCAGTCGAGCTCATTACGAGCTCATTCACTTTAATTCGTTCACGCCTACTCCCGGAGCGCGCTATTCACAAGATAATGTGTTAAGCCATCTATGGAAAACAGGTAAACGCCCCCAAGCAAATGCATTAAAGGCTTCAAGTTTCATCATTCAGTTCACCTGCGCGTTAGGAAGATGGCACGATACACCGGTGTAGAACCTCTTCAGCTCGTCCTGGATACTAGCGACGAAAAATCCACATTTTCATCAGAAGAAGAGCGCGACTCTGATGACGACCGTTTGATCGAGCCGTGGATAGAATTTCGTATGAGTAAGTATTTAGTCTTACTTCCATTAGTTGACAAGCAGTCTTACTTCCATTAGTTGACAAGCTATTCAATATAAACATGTAGCTTACATACTATACTGGGTGGACTATTTTCCACTTGCCATCCAGAGTATTGACATTTGATATATTCAACACGATCTAATGAAAGTGCATATCTATACCATGAATTTAATATCTCGTGTTAAAGAGATTTTTTTTTTTTTGTTTTGTTTTTTTTTAAGTGCATGCTACGCACTGTAAACCCCAGTTAGGAAATTTGTATGTGTAAATGATATGTTTAGATCATTGTGTATGAAAGCTAGAATGTAGAAGTTATTTTAGAAAATAGGCCTACTAGATGTTTAGATTATATTTTGACTAGTTTAAATGCTGCCTCATTATTATCATTGACGATGCATGCTCGCAAATTAATGCTCCCAGTTAATGACTTGCGCAAATGTGTTTTGTTTGCGGTGTGCCTCTCCGGCAATGGCCCATTGACACGCATATTTATTGCACTCGCCTAAAATTATTTACATCAGTTATTCATTATAGACTAATGCTGCTATGGTTATATTTATGTAATAATATTCCTCAACTTAAAAAAAAAAAATAGAAATGTAGTTTCATCACTACCTCCGCCTGCAACTCGGAGTGCGCTTAGCAACACAGTCAGAAATCAGAAAGAAAGTACATATTTACCTACAATTTTACAGATGTTAGTTCAATTTTGTTTATACTTAGTACAATATGAGCCTGTATGACTTCACAATTGCTTTGTTTATAGCCGACTGATTATTTATTTATTTTACTCACATTTGATTTGCTTAGAGCAAATTTAGAACATTTAGTTTCTCCATATAGAGGAATTACAATAAAACAGATTGAAAAACCTTTGAATCTCCTCTCATTCTTGGTTCAGGCTGCCTCACTTGATGGGCCATTAGCCATTGGGAGAGTGTCTGTCACACCCCTGGTCTGAATCTCATTAATATTGATAGGCCATTACCACCCCCTCGCATAAACCTCTTCTGACCAAAAAACTGTCATACAAAGTATGAATTCATGTTTTGCTTTATGTGAACAATAAGGCAGGATGGTTTTCACATCATTTTGAAGCCAGAACTCGAAGCGACAACATCCATTTTTAAAAAGTCTTGTGGACACATATTTAGTATGTGTTTTGTGGTCTTATTTCAGCAACTTTCATTTTTATTTTTTTCAATAACCACGCATAAACATTATTCTCTTAAAAATACAAACATGTACATACATGTCGCTCATATATTATGGTAGCCCCGTATGCGCTATATAGAGTGAATTTACACCTTTGCCATTAACATGTTTATAAATAACTGAAAAAGCACAAATGTTAGTGCTTGTCAAAACATCCTAAGGGCCCCAAAAACACCCTGGTCCCCTAAGGGTTAAAGGACTTAAAGGAGCAGGAAGTTTGTTATCTTCAGCGAATAGGTGGAAAGAAACATCACTGAACCTTTGTATGATCTTTCCCAAAGGGATAAAATACAACAAAAATAAAACAGGACCCAAAACGAAACCTTGAGGCACTCCACACACCAAATCCGCAGACTCAGACATTATTTGGTTAGCTGTAATACTGAAGCTACGCCCAGATAAATAAGAGGAGAACCACTGTAGAACTGACCCTGACAGTCCAACTTAATCCCTCAGTCTTCTCAGCAAAACCTGATGGTCAACGGTGTCAAAGGCTGAGGACAGATCCAAAAGAACTAGAACAGTGTGTTTTCCAGAATCAGCAGACATCATAATGTCATTTGACACTTTCAGTAAGGCCGTTTCAGTAGAGTGTTGTTTACGGACACCTGACTGAAATGACTCATGGATGTTACTTTTGTCCAGGAAAATGTCAACTGTTCACAGACCACCTTCTCAAAGATCTTGGACAGGAACGGGAGCTTAACGGGTCTAAACCTGCTTTTTTTAGTAAGGGCTCCACTATGGCATGCTTGAAAGCATTGGGAAACACACAAGTAGACAAAGAGAGGTTTACCATTTTGGTAACACAAGGGCCAATTACCTCAAACACTTTTGGAAGAGCCTATAAGGAAGGACATCATATGAACAAGAAGATGGCTTCATCTTGGTCACCAGTTCAGAAATATCAGCAAACGTCACAGTCCTAAATGAGGACCTCATGCTGGAGATAGGCTCAAAAACAGCAGGGTGTAGCGACAATGACAGTCCCCCCTTGATGGGTCAGTCATAGGTCAGTGTCGCTGACCGTACCGGAGTGTTGACGAGCCACCGATTCCCCACAATCTCGACTTGCGTCTCGGTGACTTGGCTGCGAGGTTTAGCATCCGCCGGGCAACGTGTGTCGCTGGCCAGATGTTGCAGGCCGCAACTCCCATCAGTGTTGTCTCTGAGGAACGGCTTGCTAGGGCAGAGATGGTGGATATCTTTTAGTGAGGGTACACATGTGCAGGTTCGGGGCTAAGTACAGCTGTGCATCGCTGTCGTGATAAGCTACCACTTCAGGTGTCCGTTCCCTAAAATAAGTGTTGCTCTGCCAAAATCCCACGTTGACGATTTCTTTAAGTCGGTAGATTTGGCTTGATTCTATGATGGGTAAATTTAAGAGGAAGCCTACCTCTCGCTGTGCAGGGTCAACATACAGTGGAATGGCACTGCCCAATGAGTAGGCAAGGTGGATTTGTAACGGGTCAGTGGGTGTTGTTATGGCGGAGGCCAGCGCGGCCTGCACCAGGTTTAGGGGTATCAGGTATGGTGGGATCCTACCCATGGCTTAAGCTGTCCATGGAGGAACTTACTTCTCGGAGCATGTCGGTCATTAATGCCGTGACCAACTGTGTTTGGGAAAAGTCATTCTGGAAAACTGTGAACAGCTGTTTCATGGAGCTTACAGTCTGATTCAACATGACGCTATGAGTGTTGAGGATTGTCACAGTTCCTCTCAGTGTCTTGCCGATGGTTTGCAGGGATGCGCTTTGTGTGGTGAGTTGCTCTTTTAACTGTGGGAGCTCCGTCTGAATTTCGGCCACGTGCCGTCGCACCGTGGCTATGTTCACAACGTTGACACTGGACATACCAATGTTGAACAGCGTGCCTACGGCGGCAGCGGCCCCGAGCAGCGCTCCCAGGAACCGCTTGGAACGTTTGTTGTGTCCTCCCAATTCAGCTTGGGTGCTGGTCATCTTCTCGAGTTGGTTCAGCATGTGCTCGACATTGGCTTCGGCGTGGTTGAGGGCGGTTTCTGTCCATCGGGCACCTGCCCAGCTGTACTGGGCTACCGCTCTTGGGTAGTGTGCGCGGTATACATTTCGAAGGTCGAGTCGCACGTACACTTTCTGCGCGTGCGTTCGGCGTTAGTAATCAGAAGTCCCGGCTGATCTCTCAACACAATGCCCAAGGCCGGTCCTGGTGAGACGACGTCGACTGGCCTCTGGTCGACTGAAAGAGCATGATGGCAATCCACAGCAGCATCCTGTTACAGGCGAGAGAGAGGTATGGAGGTGATGGGGAAAGAGAGAAGGCACAGGTCAGTGAGATTTGTCCCGGGTTGTGTGGGACAGTTTTTCGCTGCGATGACGGCGGTTGAGTTTAGCTTGCATTGGCCCCTCCCTGTCGGTCCCTGCTAGTGGCCACATGTCTTTTAATTTGATTGCGGTGGACCCATTTGAGAATTGGTTCTTTCGGTCCTCGTTTTAGCTGGATTTGGTACGCAACGGGGGAGAGCTTGTTCACAATCTCGTGAGGTCCCGTCCAGTGGGGCAGGAACTTTTTTGACAGCCCCTTGGGTGGCGGGGCGAAGTTGTAATACAGAACTCCTGGTGTGATGCCTTTCGGTCATAATATGCTTTCTGGCCTTCAGCACTGGTTTTCAGATGTTGCTGGGCGAAAGCGAAAGTTGTTTTCAAATGTTTATGGAGCTCATCCAGATACTGGAACGTGGTGTAGGCGGTGACGAGGTTGTGGTCTTCTGGTTGATACAACAGGTGTAATGGCAGGGTCATCTGCCGCCCGGTCAACCCGTGTTGATTCCTGCGGCGTGGCTCGGAGGGCCATCAGCACAAGGGGGAGTTTCAAATCCCAGTCTTTCTGATTAGCCGACACGTACTTTCTTAGCATGTGGACCCCCGTCTGGTTCGACCTCTCTACCTGTCCCGATGAGATCGGATGTTGGCTAATGTGAAGTTTAGCTTGTTCCCCTAGACATCCCCAGATCTTTTGCATGATCTCGGCAGTGAAATGGGTACCTCTGTCTGAGTTGACTCTTAGTGGCAATCCGAACCGGGAGAAGATTTGGTTCATCAGGAGTAATGCTGTTGTTTGGGCCGTGTCATTAGGTGCTGGCAAACACTCTACCCACTTGGTAAACTGACACACCACCGTGAGAAAGTACTTGTTGCCTCTTGTTGATCTGGGCAGGGGTCCTACCCAGTCAATCTGGAGATCTGACCATGGGAAAGTGACTCCTCTGCGTTGCAATAGGGCTCTGTGATTTGGGTTTGTTGGTTGGAATTGACAGCAGACCAAGCATTCTCTCACATACTCTGCCACATCTTGTTGCATGCCTGGCCAGTATGCCACCTGTCTGAGTGTCTCATACGTGGCTCTGGTACCGTGGTGTCCAGCATAGGGTGTGTTGTGGGTGTGCATTAGCATCACCCCCCTCTGACACAGTGGCACCACGAGCCTAGGCGATGTGGTGTTATCAGGGTCAAACCAGAGAATGTCGTCCCGCACACGCAGCATATGTCTGGAGTTATGTAGGTGTCTGAGGTATGAGTCAGTAGCGATGTCTGAAGGTGAGATAGGGTGGCAGGTGGGGTCAGAGAGGTGGTCAAGGAGTCTGGCAGAGTCTGTGGCTTGCATATCCGCAATATCGTTGTTGGAAATTTGCGGAGTTAGCGATAGCAGCTGTGAAGCTGGCGCTGGAGCAGGTAAGGGCCGTTTGCTGCGGGTTAGTACCGCTACATTGGGGGTGGGTGTTGGGTTTGGGGAAGACCACAGCTCACCGTGGAGGGCGCCCGCTTTGGCAAGGGCATCAGTGTGGTCATTAAAGTCTTTGTCTTGGCCTGGCAGTTTAGAATGTCCCTTTACCTTCTTCCAGTACACAGTGACGTCGTGTTTTGTTGTGATGTTATCACATTCCTGGAACAGGTGTTGGTGTTTGACAGGCTTGTTGTTTGCCGTTTTGAAACCGTTTTGTTTCCAGATCGGGAGATGGCACACAAAACTGAGTCTGGCATAGTTAGAATCTGTGCAGATGAGAAGCTCTCTGATGTTATGGGCTGATGCGATTTGCAGAGTTATGAGAATGGCTGCTATCTCTGCATATTGTGAGGACTGGTGGCCCAGTTTGAAGTGTTGTGGTGGGCATGGGTGGTTTTCAACCCACAGTACCCTTGCGCCTGCCTTTAGGATGCCCTCGTGGTTGTAGGAGCATCCGTCGACGTAAGCTGTGGGCATGCCTTCGCAGACATTCTTGTCAAAGTACCTGTGACAGGTCAGTTGTGGCTGTTGGGGCTCTGGTGCGTCTAGCATTGCAGCAGGTGAGTTGTCAGAGCAGTTTTGACATGCAGCCAGGCCGTCTCCCAACGCCGACTTGTGATTCTGTGCAAATCGGGCCTCAACATCTCGTCCTTGGAGAGCCATTAACCAGGTGGCTAAGCGTGCATTGGTTACCACGCCATCTCGGATGCGTTGGCTGTTGAGGAACATTACGGGCTGGTGGCAAGTGTCTATGATAACTTTCTGTGCTCCAATGTAGTTGGAGAAGCGCTGTATGGCCCATACTGTGCAGAGCAAAGCTTTTTCGCAGTCTGAGAATTTACTCTCTGGAGGGAGTAGTGTCTTGCTTGCATATGCGACTACCTTCTTGTCTTGATCGTGCCGTTGGTATAGGCCAGCACTGAGACATTGGTCAGAAAATCCAGCTTCCAGGTAGAATTCCTTTTGAGGATCGGGGTAAGCAAG